CATCATTTTTGCCTCTGATGAACGTTGCAGATTTTTTAAATCCGATGTGTTGATCTTTTTTCTCCCCATCAGACACATTTGTGAAACCCAACCTGTGGCTGTTGGTGAATCCCAACATCGCCTGTCCGGTCCAGTACGTGCAGGCGGATGCTGACCTCCAGCCGGAACCGGGTCGTGCCGACCAGCTGCTCCAGCTGGAGCCCGGGGACATGGAGGGTCCGTCCACATCCGATCTGCAAACGTGTCCCCGTCAGGAGGAACCGCAGCTTCCTGCTTGCTCCACAGCGACAGACACTGTAACAAACTCTCACATCACTCTGAGAGAATCTCTAAAAACAAAATGAACAGAGGTTAAAGCATTTATTTTAACATTTATCAAACACATAGATGCAGGAATTCTTCATGCATGAAGAATTAAAGATTACTCATCTAAGTCCTGCACTGCAAAAACACAAAATCTTACCAAGTATTTCTGCTCTACTTTATAGTGGAAATATCTATAAGAAAACTTTAACTTTTCAGCAAGATGTAGGAGCTTGTTTAAAATAAATAATCCCTTGATATTGATGAAAATGTATTGGTGCCACTGGGTAATCGTTTCACCTATAACTGGAATATTTTCATCAATGTTGAGGAATTATTTCCTTAAAATAAGTTTATATTTCTTGCTGGAAAGCCAACTGTAACTTATATCGATTTAATTTAAGGTTCATCAAGTTTCACCTAAAACTAGACAAAAATACTTGGTAAAATTTTGCTTTTGCAACGTAGTGGCAAATATCAACTCTTTAACATGCCATGTTCATAATTTTACTTCATTCATGGTGGAATTTAATCCAAAGTGGATTTACATTTTCAGAAAATCTATATTTAATTTATACTTGCATGTGGTTTTTTTTTCCCCCTCTTGCAAGAGTCACAAAGTCAAATTTCTTAGGCAATCTGCAGAATTTTTGTGTGATAAAGCTGGAGCATTGGTTTACTTTTTTTTTTTTTTCTGCAAAAAGTGTAATTTCAGGCTGGAAATAAAAACAAAGTATAAGAAGAAAAATAGAAGAACTGTGCAAATTATAGCTCTGCATTAACATGAAGCATGAAGCAAGTCCAAAAGCTCCAGCACTCAAAAGTTTCTCTGGCAAGTTTCAAACGTTTGAACAAACCTGCAGCTGTCTGGTTTAAAGTTTGATGTTTTTCTTGTTTTTCCTGCCTGATTGGAGCAGGAAATCAAATCCATTCTCTGCTTCAAGCTGCATTTTCTCTCATGAATAAAATTTAAGTGGAACAATACGCTGTCAGAGTGCATACAACTGAAACGTATTAATTGGCAAAATAAATTATTCCACTAAAGTGTCATTAAGAAGCTTGTTTTTAATTAAGTAAATGCTTATAAATGCATCTTTATTCTGCTCTATTGCTGTAAAACAGATTTAATCAAATAGCAGGATTATATCTGAATGTCTCCTGCAGATCAAAAGGATCTTAGATGTTTATTTGAGACACAATGATGAGTTTTAATGTGGATTTCTGTTTTATTTTTCTCATCTTTGACTCTCGGATAAAGAAACAAGAAGGTTCCAGCAAACCGGTCCGGTCCAGACGGAAGGCGAAGATCATAAAAGTTGTGGTGAGGAAGAACAGCAGCTTTTATTTTATTTTATTTAAACCACAAAGATGAATCATGACTCAGCAATTTTTTTAAATTATTTGTCCAGTGGACAAACTTATTCACCTCTAATTTTAATTGCTTTTCTTTTTTTTTATGGAAACTCCACAAATGCAAAATAGTTTTTTGACGTTCGTGGAATATTGCCAAAGTTTTGTGCAAATTTCTAATGGAAACGCTGCTGCTGATAGAAGTGGAAATTTTAGCTACATTGTATTTTCTACAATGGCTTATTGGAGAAAATTTTTACCACTAATTAAAAAAAATAAAAATTCTTAAGTTTTCTAGAATGAAAAAAACCTTGGAAAGCCAAAAAAATTCTAATTTTTCAATTTTTGAAACTCCAATTTTGAGATCATTCTAGAAAATTTCAGATTAATTTCTTCTAGCAGAATTTGTATTTTCTATTTACACTTTCACATTGTATCTATGCTTTTATTTTTATTAAACTTTCACAAAGTCTTAGAAATCACTTTAGAATCGTCATGAACCAGTCGATCCTGACCAACCTGTGAAATTTCAGACCAGCCACTATTTTCTGAAGACCCTGAGGAACATGAATGGGATTCGAACGTCGTTCTGTGAATGTAAAGTTTGGTGTCTCTGGTTCTGTCCTCCCGTCTCTCAGGACCTGCAGTCCCTGAAGCCGGGGTGCTGGCCTCGTCCGCCGGTGAATTACTGCGTCCTCGTTGCTCTGGCGCTCAAGAGCAGCCAAACGGGGAGCCTCAAAGTCCAGCAGATTTACAACTTCACCAGGTCAGAACCAAAGAGCTGATGGTTGCAGACACACTGGTTCCCTTTAAAAGTAAAAGAGCTTCTTCCACACTTTGAATGGAGAAGGTTCTTCTCTTTTGAATGGGAGTTTTTATCTTTTAGAATGAGGGAGAAATGGACACCAGAATGGAGAAAATGAAGCCACTTCTATACTAACTGATCAGGCGTCAGCCTCTGTCTAGAATCTTTGAAATGTGCTGGAAAACGTTTCCGGTTTGCACTGTGGTTCATCTTCAGTTCACCGTTTCCTCTGCTCTTCCAGAGAGCACTTCCCCTTCTTTCAGACGGCTCCGGACGGCTGGAAGAACACGATCCGCCACAACCTGTGCTTCAGCAGCAGCTTCCGTAAAACCTGCAACCAGCTCTGCAAAGAGGGGAAGAGGAAGTCGTGCTTCTGGCACCTGACGCTGGACGGCCACCGCCGGCTGCAGGACGAGCTCCACACGCTGACCGGCGAAACCCTGAAGATGCTGGAGAGGAGCATGTCCAACCCAGGTCAGCACATAAAGTCCTCATTCTGGAAAAATCTGATTCTCATTGTCTCTGAATTTCTAGCTGACCTGGCAGAACTCGCTTGTGAGAAATAACTGCTTTTCTTTTTGCATTTCAGGTGTAATATGGAGTTTACTTGAAACGTAATTCCTGCAGGTTTCAATCCACTTAAAACAATGCATAATAAAATATGCATATCATTCAGTTGTGTTGTCTATAAATGTGGTCTTTTTTTATTTATTTATACAAAGTAAAAACGGCTTTTTGCTTACATCTCTATCCGTTCATCTATCAACTCCTCAAGTAATCTCACTGCGTTTTGTTGCCGTTTTTCAAAAAGATTTCAACTTAATTCAAGCTACAAATTTTGTTGAGATAAAATGATAATTTGCTGACATGTTTTCCAGAAAGATGGTAGAAAATACTTCATATCTGCTCCTTTGAAAATTGAGATCTGACTTCTATGTTTGTCGTTTTATACTGAGCTTAGGGGTTCCTCTGGGATGTGTGCTCAGTCCTTTTGCATTTACCTGACCGGCGGCGCAGTCCCACATAAATCAGCGGTTTGGAATTACAGAGAAGTTCCAGAAAGTTTCTCATTGAATCTTATTCTCACCCACCTGACATCCTGCAGGAGGCGGAAGCAGGAAATCTTGATGCTGCAGCGATTTTCACATGCAGACTGTTTGAAGGGAAGGAAGCATTTCTGTGATGAGGCGATCGAACTCTGCGTTCAATGTTTGCTCTTTGGTCATCTGGAGGAAATCTTTGCTCCACCGAGTGCTAATGAATTCATGCAGGTGCTTGAAATCCTTAAATGCTTGAATTTCAAATGGAGGTTTTCAAGGTTTGGAAACTGCTTGATATTCAACCAGCAAACTGCTATAAAATGCAATTCAACATTTGATTAAACCCTAAATTTGAAAAATAAATATTGAAAATTGATTTTTTTACATTTTTATTAAATTACCATTCTGTTTTCAAGTGTGGGAAACATTTCAATAACATTAGTAATAAATATATAGTGAATTGAAACTTTTTGTGGTTCAATTATATTTTTATCTCCACAGTGAAAAATTTGAAAATGCTTCAATTTTACTGTTATTGTCCCAAATAACTAGACTGATGTGTTGCATTATATTAAGTGACATGCTGAGAGATTTAACATTTCTATGAATAAGAAAATCATATTTATAACTTCAAATTTTAAGTTTGGTCTAAGTCTTAACAGATGCTCAGGATGTCACTACTTTATAATATTTATAATTTTAATAAAATCCCTTTTTTTAAACTTTTCATTACAAGTTAGAATTTAGAAGCCAGAAACATTGAACTTGTCCCATTTTGATCTGAGTCAAACTCAGTATGAACCGACTTCATGTTATTGGCGCTTTGCAGAAAACAAACTCCTTTTGTTCATTTGCCTGCTCCTCCAAAGCTTCGGGGTAAATGGGTTTTGTCATTTAGGTCTGCAGGTAAATTTGTCCTTCATTTGCCAGAAGTCAAATGTTTTGTAGGTCAGCAGGATTAAGGTGGGAGTGATGTTCTAAAGCTCTTTAATGAACGTTGCAAATAAAACGCCAGACAGAAAGAAGTTGCTAGATCCTCAACTGGAAGAATCTGAGCAGGTAATGGCAGCATACACTCTTTAATGCTTTAGTTTTACTTTTAATCTGATTAAACTGCAGAAACACAAAATCTTACCAAGTACTTTTGGTTTAGTTTCTGGTGCCAATATCTTGGTAAACTTGAAATAAGACAAAAGTTACTTTTCAGCAAGATATGAGCTTTTTTTAAGTAAGTAATTTCATAACAAGACATTTTCCATGTTATACATTTATTTGCCAATGAAACTAGAAATTTTCATCAGTATAAAAGAGTTATTTATTTAAAACAAGCTGAAAACTAGACAAAAACTGGAAACTAGACAAAAACAATTGGTAAGGTTTTCTATATTTTGCACTGTAAGTCTTGTTCATCTCAGTATTTAGTTTTTCATGTTCCCCAGTAATGCATTTGGTTCATGTCTGATCAGAAACTGACAAAAGCAGTTTGTGAAAACGGTCTGAAGATGAAGCACAGCCTCTGCGACCCTCTGATTCTCCTCCTCATCCTCGGCAGCAGCGGCGATGCAGATGGCCTGGGATCCGTCCTGCACATTTCATACAAACACCTCAGATATCCTCTAACCTGGGAGAACGCCCAAAGCTTCTGCAGGCGGTAAGATGCCTGATTTACTCAAATCGTAAACCAGGAGTTGCTAAAGGAACCCATGTTCTCATATTTGAATCAAGATCATCGTAAATATTCAGTGTCTGAGTTTTTCTAGACCTCAGAGCAGCAAGTGCCGTAATGAACTCAAAGACCGAATGCGATCACAGTGCTGCTTCGCAGTGGTTGTTTGTAGAAATCCATCTTTTCGCCTTAATCAAGTGTATTTGTTCAGCACAGTTCCGCATCAAGGCAGTTCAAAGTGCAATTTTATTCCAAATTGAACTGAGTCCATCACACCATCAAGTGAAAATGCTATAAAATAAAGTCCTCCTGAAATCTGCAGTGAACTTCCTTCATCACTGCAATGGTTGCCTGTAAAATTCAGAATGTGCTACAAATAAAATCAAATGCTGATTGAATAAAGGGCTGAACTTTATTTAATCAGCCGATGAGAACATTGCTCTAAAGCTGCAGGTTTACTCATCGTTTCCATTATAAAGGGTGTTTTTATTATTTGTTGGTTTATTTTACTCTGAATTGTTTCTCCTCTGGATTTAGCTACTTTTTTGTTATGCAACACTGATGCACTACATTCTTACCTCTTTTTTTTATTTAAGGTTTTACTTTGTTTTGTATCTATTTAACTGTTTTTTGTATCTACAATCAAATTTCAGTCAAGAAAGAAACATGGCTACACAATTTCACTTTTTCATTTTAAAAGTTATTAACAAACAACATGAAGACATTGTCTTCTGGAATGTCTCTTCATGAATCCATGGCTTTACTTTTTTGTCCCTGCAGTGAATTCACTGACCTGGCCACCTTCTATTCACTGTCGGATGTAAACGCTGCGTACTTCAAGAGCTATAACTCCTGGATCGGTCTGCACAAAGACACCTCTTGGTTATTCGGCACCAAGTGGATCTGGTCTGACGGTCAAACCCACAAAGTCAACTGGCAAGACAACGTGGAAAACGCCGAGGGAAACTGTGCTTCTGTGGCATACAAAGACAAAAAGTAAGAGTGACTCAAAATTGAAGCCTTCTGCATGGAAATGTAATTTTTTTTTTTTTTTTTTACTAAATTTTTCACCAATTACCATCGTCTTCATTGTTAATGGTAGAAATATCATCTTGTTTATCAGCTCCAGTTGTCTTTCATTTTGCATTGAGTGTTGAGCTGTACTGTGTTTGTGAAACAAGCTTTTTGTAATAAATCATTTTAAATTTCCACTTTCCTTTCTCTGGACACATTTATGTTTCCAGCAGCTTCCGTAAAACTGTTACGGAAGCTGTTACAACACCCTGGTGTCGTAACAGGACTTAAAAGTGATTTGAATTTTACGCCTTGAAATTGGGCGTCTGTCTCTTTAAGAAGCTCCTGCTCTTTCTGATGCTCGTCATCACAACAGTGCTCCTTTGTTATGGCATTTTCAACCGGTTTTAGGATCACTGGACTCTGAATAGCAACTGTTCCTCCAGATGGAAATGGCGTCGTTTTGTGAGGAGGTTTAAGGTGTTCCACATATTAAAAAACATAAAATTACAACAAATTTTCCGCCACAAAGATTCAAAAACTTCTGAAACATGCACGAAGGAATCAAAGGAATAATTAATGAGGGATGAACATTGCAACATGGCTCCCAGAATCTCCTGTTCATCCTGTTTTCTTAAACGTTGATGATTCAGTAAATGTCGATTGTTCTCTTTACAGGATCTACGTCAGAGACTGCGGGAACCGTCTGTTCTTCACCTGTCAGACGTCTGATAAGAATTATGTCTTCATACTGGAGGCAAAGACTTGGCCAGAAGCATTGGACTACTGCAGGTCAAACTATCGCGACCTGGTCAGTTTTTCTAGCGACGATTACGACGACGTCTTCTTTGACCGGGAGATTCCCACCTGGATCGGACTTCACAGAGACGGTAAACGATCACTGCTAAAACCAGGATATGATTCACTTGTTAAATATTTACAGTGACGACCAAAGATTTGGTTTCTGCTTCAGACCTTTAGATTTTTCATTGGGATTTTATGGTTGACCATTCCAAAGAAACACTTAATTTTGAACCAGGTATAATAACACTTTGATGTAGTAATCATCATCACAGCAAGCTGAGAAGGATTTAAAGAAACTCATTTATCAAGCCTCCTTCTGCCCCTCAGTGACTCATGTTTAAGTAAATCAGAAAACCTGCTTGTTTAAACATTTGGCTGATTTGCAATTCATGAGAATCATTCAGTGTAACTTCCTGGTTTAAAGCTCTTTTTCATTTGTATATTTGCAGCAATAGATTTTAACAGCTTCAAGTGGGAAAACAATGACTGATCTTATAATCCTTCCCAAACTTCACACCTTTGACACCTTTACTGCTTTTGCAAATGAATGTTTAAATTTTGTTGTTGTTGTTTTTTATGAAAAATATCTGAAATGTGTTGCATGCATTTTTTATTTAGTCAACAATTTCAAACATTTAGAGAGCAATTCTGGTTTAAGTTGCAGAGTTGGTGCAGGATGAAGAGTTTAGGATGTTTTTAGGATTATTGAACTCAACAATGCCAATAAATTTATTGCCTCTTTTTCAAAGGAGCATCGTGGAAATGGAGCTGGGGAGACACTGAATATACAAACTGGTTAGGAGAGCTGAGCGCCAGCAATGACTGCGGCTCGATCTCCTCGCTGACGAAGACGACGGCTCCCCAAGGCTGCGGTACTCCCCTCCCGTCCCTCTGCATCGCAGACAATCTGGTCCTGATGAAGGAGAAGAGGAGCTGGCAGGAGGCGCTGGAGCTCTGCAGAGGCCTCCAGTCCTCCAGCGACCTGCGTTACGATCTGCTCAGCCTGCAGCCTGCAGACAATCAGGACTTCATCAGGACCAAGGTCATGCAGGCCGACACAGAGGAGGTAAGAGACAAATACCAATGTAGAAAAATGTCTTACAAATATCATTTTATAAGATGTAAGGTAAACAAGGACAAAAGGACAAAAAACTTGATTTTAATAATTTTAAACATCAAACTCAATGCAAAATACATCAAATGATAAATAATGTAGATTTGGCCCTAATTCAACTGCTGGCCCAAAAGCAGCAAAAAGAAAAAAACTTGAAGGGAAGATTAATTTAAAACACAGGATTTCTACTTTTATCCATGAAAAATAATGGTTATGTACAAAAAAATGATTTTACGGCCTTATCCAACGGTTTCACAGATCTTAAGTTTAATACAAATGAACCAAACTCTACAGATTTATAAAAGTAATCCGTTGCTTCTGCAGGTTTGGACCGGCCTGCGTTTCCTGGCTGGTGATTGGCTGTGGGTGAACGGAGCAGACATGTTGTTCACCGATCTGCCCTTCTGCCCCGCCCCGGGGCAACACTGTGGGATCCTATCCAAAAGGAGCAGCAGCAGCATGGAGACCAGGGATTGTTCAGAGGGAAAAAACTTCCTGTGTTACAGTTACAAACCTGTGGTCTAAATAAAGGTCTTCTGACTCTTGGAGAAATCTGTTTTCTATGACAGAAACTGATATGAAAGTTTAGCAAATACCACAAATTATCTGTTATATTTAGTTTATGTTATAGGTGTAAATATTTAATCAACTTTGTTTGCCCAAGTTTTATGATTTCCTGTGTTTTATAACTATAATTCACCACATTTCCAAGTTTAATTTCAAAAGCTACACCCAACCGTAATTCAAAGTCAGACATTTTCAATCAAGAAATTACTAAACTGGAGCCGTCCTGACAGCATGAAGCAGGCCAGAGGATCTGAAAAAGCTTCGATTCAAGTCGTCAGTCCGTCTGGAAGAGTTTCCACCGTTTCTAAGACTTTATGACGCTGGAGAAGCACAGATGGAGAAAACGAGGAAACGGCGGAGAAGTTACTGCAACTCTGTTATTTTTGAAAAAAGACTTTTTCAATTATTGTTCAGTATCAGCAAGATTATGCTGAAAGAAACTCTTAAAACGTTTGTATCTTTTACTATTCTTCTAAATAATTGTGAATTTCTTCTATATTTTCCAAGCGACATCAAACTTTTGGCTGAAAATTGTATCAGAATGTTCAGAAAATGTCCGAAGTCATTTTGAGAGCCACAAAAAATATTTATTTCTTTTGTAGAAATTAAAATAATGCAAGTTCAACTAAAAAGGCTAAGGTGCATTTATTATTAATATTATTATTATTATTATTATATTACATTTCAAATGCAATTCTAAACAGGTGTGTTTTTAGTCGAGATTTAAAGGAAGTCAGGGTTTCTGCTGTTTTACAGTTTTCTGGAAATTTGTTCCAAATGTTTGGTGCATAGATGCTGAAAGCTGCTTCTCCTCTCTTGGTTCTGGTTCTGGGGATGCAAAGCAGACCAGAACCAGAACCTGAGAGGTCTGGAAGGTTGATACAACAACAGCAGATCTTTGCTAGCAGTCAAATATTCCTGCCAGATAGTGATAACACCAGACTGATGATTGATTTAAATCTTATCTACTAAGCAAATAATGAGTTTAAAACATGGAGGCTAAAACAACAGGACCTGCAGTCGAGGTTTGGAGGCTCATAAAGCAGCAGCATCACGAAGCATCACACGAAGTCCGGTAATCACACTAATAACGAGGTGAATACTAGAATTGTTTGACTATTCATACTATTTCCTGCAAGGCAGGAAATAAAAGATTTAGTTTGAATTAACCCTTTGCATTAATAAAGCCTTTTTTTATAGAACTGGACGTTGAAGATGATGAACGTTTCTGGATCCTGGATCTTCCTCCTCCTCTGCACTAGCTTTGCATTTTCCCTGAAATCAGTACTGGAGCGAGAGTTCAGGTACAACGTCTATCCAAGCACCTGGGAGAACGCGCGGAACGTCTGCAGAAGGTGAGATTTCTGTTCATTGTTAAAACTAATCAGTGGCGAATTCTAGGTGTGAATGAAAAGTTGTTTTTGTCAGAAAAACCAACAACCAGATTCATGAGAACTATTGCTTCACGCATCTTCCATCACGTTTGAAAGAGGAGGAAATAATGCTGGAAAATCTCATTTTATTTTTCGCGTTGTCAGCAAAAAGGATGGAAAGTGTTGGTGAGACGTTCTCCCACTGCACTGGACCAGAACCGAGCAAGGGGAGGAGAATTCGTCAATTAGTCTTCTAAACGACCTGCTCTGTTCTGTGGTTAGAATTATAATGGCTTCTGGAAGTTGAGTAATTGTGATTGGACCACAAAATTCAGACCAATCACAAGATGAGTGGAAAAAATGAGGCTGAGGACGAAATAACAGGATTTTAATCATGTAGCTGCGACAATGAGAACTAATTTTGACAGTTCAGCTCGACGCTGAAGAGCCCTTAAAAAAAAGTCCCGGGTTTGGGTCAGGGCCTGGCGCTGGCCCAAAACCCAGACTACGGACTCACAAGGACTCCAGCCCATGAAAGATTCAGGAAGTATGAAACAACTGGAGAGTTGGATAGAGCTCTCCAATCCAGTACTGGTTGGAATCTTACATGAAGAACATAGATTTCTATGACCAGTTTTCATCGAAGTGGACAGAAGTCACATACGGGACACCCCAAGGCTCAATCCTGGGACCCCTCAATCTCTATATGCTCCCACTAGCTCAGGTTATAACAGGAAATAAGATTGGCTTCTGTAACTGCAGAAAATACACAGCTCTACATTACGATGTCACCAGGTGACCTTTGAATTACCTGTTGCCGTTTCATTTTTGGTCAAGTCATACTGGAGCGTCATAACATTTCAGACACTTCAGGCGTGGTTGTTGTTCAATAAACACACAAAAAAAAAATACAATATCAATTGACTGAAGTAATCTAGTTATTCTTCCTCTAAAGATCCAAATGAAGCTCAAAAATATGAAATGTGTGAAGCAGTGACAGTTCAGCAGAAATTAATTTTGATTTAAGCATTTACATCAACAGGGATGTTTTTGCAACTAATTTCTAAGTTTTCCATAATTAGTCTCTTGATTTCTGTAAACGTGATGCGGTCGAACATTAGAGGTGTGACTGAGCTGCAGGTAAGTTCATGAATGTCCTCACTTCATTCTGAAGATTTTCACATTTTCAGCTGCATAGTTTTACTTCTGAATATATGGCTTGTCATTAAAGGAGCTATGCAATCAAAAGAAAGTATTTGTGACTTTGCAATTATGAATCAGATTTTTTTTATTTCCTAAAGCCACTACACCGACCTGGCCACCGTCTACTCAAAAGCAGATGTGCAGAACCGGAACCTGGGGCGATATTACGCCTGGATCGGCCTGGGTGGAGTCAGGACTTACTGGTCTGATCTTGTGTTGTTTGACGGGAAGGGATATTTTCTCAACTCTTTGGAAAACCAAACCTTGGCCAACAGTGCAAAATGTCTTGCAGCCAGCTACCATGTCTGGCATTATAACAGGTAACATCAGACTGTTGTTTTTTGTCTCTGCAGTTTGTGGATGTCGCTTGTGCGTCAGATTTATGGGTGTACCAGAAACATGCAAATACAAAGGTTCCTAAACTGAAATCTCCTGTTTGGTCAGGTCACAGAAAACGCGTTTTGAGCATTAAGCGCATCAGGTTTATTCTAATCTGTTAAAGGAGGCATGTGGCGGCGCGGCGGCGCATCAAACGCAGCGCAATTTGAATCTTTTCCAGAGTCCAACATCAGAGTCGGAAAAAACTGAGCTTTCGCTGCTGGAACACAGATTGGCCACATATTGTTGCTGTTTGCTCCCATTAACTACGACCAGTCAAGTGAAGACTACAGAGAGAGGAATAGAAAAGATCTTGCTTGTGGAGGACCTACGAAGAAGCTGGATATACAAAATTATAACTTTTACTATTTGAAAATATAACCCTTTCTAAATCTGTCCAGCAAAAACGTTCAGTCGCATTAAATAAACGCTGAATATGCAGGAGACAGTTGAATAGTTTGAAGGACAGGATGTCTCCTCCGAAGGCCGTTCCAAAGCAAAACGAAGGAAAACCTATGTATGGAAACACCTTAGTGACAATAATAATCCAAAATAAAACACAAATGAGAACCAAAAACAGCCTTTCATTACAATTAGTGGATGAAATAACTAAATTTTCAAGATGATTTTTATTTTTGTTTGCACTGAACAGATGCACTAATCATTTCTTTGCTTCCACTTCATTCTGCATGACTGACTCTCTGCACTAACAACAGCTATCCACTAATCAACAGGTAGGAAGCAGATCCATTAGCAATAAGTTTTTAAAACAAAATTATTTTTTTATTACGTATGTTCATGTACTGTCATCGGAAGTCAGAATGACTTTTTAATCTTATACACATTGGCTAATTTAGTCAATAATCTATGGTAATTATTTATGTTCCTTTGTTCTTGTTTCTCTTGAAAGAGTTTATGGCCTGAATTGTGGAAATGAGTTCTTCTTCATCTGCCAGTACGACAGTTCACATTATAACCAGGCAAAGGAGTATATTTTCATATCTGAAGCGAAGAACTGGTCTGCGGCTCAGCAGTACTGTAAGGACAACCATGAAGAGCTGGCAAATATCGACGGTCATCGTCTGACCAGCAACATTCATTCTGAGGATTTTCCCTTCTGGATTGGACTTCATCGAGACGGTAAAAACTCAGGGCTACAGCTTGCAGCGATTTTTATAAAATCAATTACATTAGTCATCATAACAGTAATAATAGAGTAGCGAACATAAAACATCTTTCTTTCTTCTCACTGCCAGCTGCCTGAATTTTTCACATCTGTTCTGCAGGTGGATGGTGGAACTGGACTGAGGGCCCTTCAGAATATAAAAGCTGGGAAATAAATGAGCCGAGTTCCAACGGCGACTGTGTCTCCATGTCCTCCGAGTCGTTCAACATGGCTGCCCAAAACTGCGACAAGCGATTCCCCTTCCTCTGCGTCTCGGACAACGTGGTTCTGGTGAAGGAGAACCGGAGCTGGGAGGAGGCGCTGGAGCACTGCAGAGGCCTCGGGTCGTCCAACTACAGCGACGAGCGCTACGATCTGCTCAGCCTGCAGCCGGGAGAGGAGCACATGCTGAGGAAGGTCCTGGAGGCCGACACTGAGGAGGTGGGCTGACAAAAGAAATCTTTTTTTTACCTCCATTTGGGTCTCAACTGCTTCAGAAACAACCCAAGAGTTAAAAAAAATAAATAAATAACAATAAGTTCATGTCTTTTGGTGTCTGGAAAATGAGCCGTCTCAAAAACATTCAGAATGTAGCGTCACAAATCTGTTACCTAGCAACCCCATCAAAGTTCAGCTTGTTACCAAGCAACCCAAGCTGAGCTCCAGCATCTCTGACGGCTGTATGCAACGTACAATGGCTGCTGGAAAAGACGAGCGTTGACTTACGACCCAGAAACCACCTGCTGAATTCTTATTGGTTGTGCAGGAGGCTCGATTAATGCTTTTCAAAGATGTATAGCTGTATATTTGAGCATCTGTTTCTATTTTTACTAGGGCTGTTGTAAAAAAAATATTTTAGTAATCGAGTACCCTATAGATTATTTTTATAACTAATCAGTAATCCTCTCTCTCTCTCTCTCTCTCTCTCTCTCTCTCTCTCTCTCAACACGTAAACATTGAGTTGAGGGGCGCGGCCAGCAGCAGCTTATTTGGATTTAAAGTGACAAGACGTCCGAGAAGAAGTTCACTCTGAAAGAAGCTCAAAATAAAGTAGAATCTCAATACCTAAGAATAATTTTGTGCAATAAATGAAATAAACTTGTTTTGTTTCACCAACAGAACAATCCTAACCTATTCAAGGAAGCAGAAAGGGTCACCGTTAGCATACCAGTCCTATTTTTAAATATTAACATTGAAGAATATGATTTTACTTCACTTTCTGCATTTTCTACCCATTGAAAGAAAAACAAACATGTTTTAACCAAAAGTTCACCAGATAAAGACACACCTGCAGTTTATTAATGTTTCATAAGTTTTCATTGAAATAAAACGCTTTGGAAAAATTTTTCTTTATCTGATTTTATTTTTTGTTGCTTTTATGAATTATTGCTATTATGGCCCCTTTACCAACTTTACCACTAAACTTTATATTTCCTTGTGATATAAGTTTTAAATATAAAATGGTTTATAATTTGATCAGTTACTCAGTAACTGAATATTTTTTTTTTACCAAATATTATATAATTAATTATAAGTAATTTTTTGGACGTATACATTTTTCCTTATTACTTGAGTAAACTTTACATAGATCAATATTGAAACATATTGATCTTAAATATGCTTTGCCTAAAGAACTTCCATGTAAATGCCGATGATGAACAAAGTCTGAGGTTTGCAAACGTCTGTATTTGTGTGCGACATGATGCCTGATAAATCTGGGTTTTTGTTCCTGCAGGTTTGGACCGGCCTCCGTTTCCTGGCTGGTGATTGGCTGTGGGTGAACGGAGCAGACATGTTGCACACTGACCTGCCCTCTTGCCCCGCCCCGGGGCAACACTGTGGGGCGCTGTCAAAAAACGAGACCGCTGGACTAAAGACCAAAGACTGTTTGGAGAAAAAGAACTTCCTCTGTTACCACGAAACAGCCAAACATCAGTAAGAAGCCCGATCATCTCTGCAGCACATTTAAAAAGAGATTCTGCTTTTGACTATGCAACATTCCTTAGATATATAGATTTAACTGAGATAATATTATAAAATAGTAGCTATTTAGGAAATATATTAAATATATTTTTATTAGGGGTTTGTAACATAAATTGTAAATGAACAACTTAAAATTTCTGACGTTTTTCATTGTTTAAACTAAAGAATAAAAAGAATAATTCAAGGATTCAATGAGGTGCTGCCATTTTGTTGTGGTGTTTACTGTCCTGTTGATCGATTTGCTCTTTCTCAGCCTGCTAACATGTATCATCCATCCATCCATCCATCCATCCATCCATCCATTTATCCATCCATCCCTCCATCCATCCATCATCCATCCATCCATCCATCCATCCATCCATCCATCCATCCATCCATCCATCCATCCATCCATCCATTTATCCATCCATCCATCCATCCATCCATTCATCCATCCATCCATCCATCCATCCATCCATCCATCCATCCATCCATCCATCCATCCATCCATCCTTCCATCCTTCCATCCTTCCATTTATCCAAGTAACAGTGATGATGAGGGTTGAAATAGTTTCTCAATAATTTAGTTTTCTGATGTGACTTTTTGCCTAATTCAGTTCCTTTTAGGTATTAATGTGTTTTCTCGATTTTATCATTTATTATGACTTAAATATTGTTTTGTCTAGTTTTTGTAGTGCTGTTTTTTTCATACTTTGATTCATTTACAGATGCAGAATTGAAAAAGGCTAAAGTACAATAATTACTTTAGCCTTTTCATACATAGATTGGATAATAAATACTCTACAGAAGATATTGTTTTCAAAAAGTGTCCTGAATTATTGTTGAACAACCAAGCTTTAGTGTTTCCTCCCAACTAGTGAAAGTCCCACCAGGAGGAGTGGCAGACAACTCTTGGCCACTAGGAGTAGTACTACTAGCCCTACAAGGAGTAGTCCCCTAATAGTACTCCTTGTAGTTGTAATAATACTAGAATTTGTAATAATTTCCAAATGGCTGACATAAAATACTGTAAATGTCACATCAGTTCAAAAGGCAAATAAATAAATTCAGAAACATGGAAACAAAGAATATCTTTTTCTGTAAGTTTTAGCTTCATAAACACATGATATAGTTCTGCTCAGCTTTAGTTTCCCCAGTAATTATTTCAGTTAACAAAAATGTTTTCTCAAATTCAGTGATTATTTTGTTAGTTTCAGTGAAACAAGCGAGATAATGCTTCATTTGCTCTCCTGCTCCACCTAGTGGACAATAAAGCAGTGAGTGATTAAAATAATGACTTTATTTTGCACATTTTAAATTTAATACCGGTAAATAAAAGGATTTTGTGATCCCAATACACAAATTCTGTCTTAACTTAATCAGTTGTGATAATTATCCAGTATCAATATCAACAAAATCCTTAAAAAAAAATAGTGAGTAAACTAAAATAAAAAATGCTTTATTTTATGTTTGGACAAAACTATTTTGTCTGTGAACAATTCTTTGTATATTTTTTGCTTAAATCTGATTTAGTGGCATTTGTTAGTGTATCTGTTGCTTACAGACAAACTGAAGCTTTCTGCTCAGAAATTAAAGAAAAATTAATGTTTATCGTAATATTAAAACAATCCATGTCTGAGCCAGTTAATTTACATTTTATTTAGATTTTCTAGTTGAGAAAAAAAAATTGAAGTTGTGATGAAGAGCAAAATATTCCAAATATATTTATTCCTTTAATCATCATGAGACACCACAAACCATAATCTTGGGAGAAGATTATGTTCTTTATTTATACCTTTATTTTTTTAACCATAAATCCTAAATAAAGACAGCAGATTAGCAACACAAAGACAGAGAGTTTCCTCTGTCATGTTCAGGAAAGTCAAAACAATTCATTTGTTTTTAAAATCATTTTGTGGTGCAACATCTCTAAATGTTACAAATTGTCTACATTTTTACTAAACTAGTTTTAAGAAACAATAAAATTTCAAATTAATTGTTATCTTCTGCTAGAAAGTACAGATTTGAGTAAAATGTTGTATTTCCTGAAGCTAACTGGCTGCTAACAGATCAGGCAGGAAAACTGTAACAGAGGAAGTTTTTCCTCTCTGAGCAGTCTCTGTGCTCCACGGCGCCGGTGTTGCTCTTGGATAACGCTCCGCAGCGCCGCTCCTGCACGGGGCACTGAAGCAGGTCAGAGGTCATCTCTGCTCCGTCCACCCACAGCCACTCGTCGCCCAGGAAACGGAGGCCGGTCCACACCTGCAGGAGGAAAACAGTGACTTTCAGAGATCTATCCAAAGTGCAGAAGAATATGTTTTTCAGACATGATGCCAATAATTACTGGCAGAGAAACATCTGCTGGATGAGCAACTCTGGTGGAGACAAATTCATCTATTGGTGGATTTTCTGTGCAAAGTAATTCAAATTATTTGTTGAAAATTTGCCTCTAAGCAAATTATTTTCAAACAGCATATGTAAAATATTCAATACAAAATGAATCTGGAGATGCTACTGGTTGAGTTTTCTGGGCCAATGTAGAAAAAAAAAGAAAATATTTGCCAAAAATATTCAGTAAAAAATCATTTAGAAAATAAGGAAATTTCTGAGCTTCAACAGCCAAACAAGCAAAAATATACTCAAAAACTTTGACATTAATTTCAAAGATTTTTCAGAAATACCTTCAACATTTAAAAAGTTTAATATTTGCAACTTTGCAGCTCAGAATTTTTTTTTTTTCCTAGAAAATTTCTGAGTTTGATTAAAAATTTCTGAGTTTTTCTCACAAATGTTTGACTTCTGGAAAATGCAGCACTAATTGCAGAAATACAGTCAGAGAGTTTTCTGACTGCTTCCTCAGTCAGAAAGCAACAATCAGAGCCAGGAGGATGGTCTCAGCGCCATCAGTCATCCTCCTTCAGGCTTCTGTAAGCTTCAGTAAAGGAGGATGATTGACAGCGATAAGACCCTCCTCCTTTTTTTTCTTTTTATTTTTGTAAAAGCTACAAACTGCAAATTTAACGTCCTGCTGTGTTTCAGCTGACAGGTCGGGTCAGACCAGCAGTGTTTGGATGCACCTCCTCGGTGTCGGCCGCCATGACTTGTCTCATCATGTACTGGTGTTCGTCTCCAGGCTGAACGCTGACCAGGTCGAAGAGGAGGCCGTTTCCACTGAGGCCCCGGCAGTGCTCCAGCGCCTCCTCCCAGCTCTTCTGCTCCTTCACCAGCTGCACGCTGACATTCCTGTGCCCCATGCAGACGAAGGGAAGCTGGACGTCGCAGGGCTTGGTGGACATCTGCCTGCTCAGCGAGGAGACGGCCACGCAGTCGCCATCTCTGTTCGGCTCGTTATTTCTCCAGTTTATATAACCTGAACCTCCAGAGGTCCAGGAGAATGAGTCCCCAACTAAAACACATATCAAACTTTTGAGTTTACGGTCTGTTTACAACCTGCAATAAAAGTCGCATATAGATCATCATTAAAGACAGAGACGGCCCAAAGAATTGCTGCTTCGGGCCACTGCATCAACAATGGGCCCCAAGAAAACACCAAGCTAGCATGATTATATATTTAAAACAATATTTAGTACAATCTAAATTCCACCGCAAATGAAAAAAAAATATTTTATTATTTTTCTGGTTGTTACAGAAATTATAGCTCCACCTGTTGCTGACGCTACATAAAATATCCAGATTGCTAAATTGTTTAAATGTAAGTGTTTCTCAATTCATATATTTAATTTTTAATGGGAGAGTGATTCTTAACCTACAGTTGAATTATTGAACCCTCATTTAATTTGTCTGCATACATATATTTATCCATTTGTACGTTTTAAAAATTATTTAATATTTTATTTTTTATGTATTTTTTTTAGCTGAATTTTATTTCACTTTATTTTAAAATAAAATAAATGTGGGCAGGAGCTGTTCAGTGTTTGTTTGAATGTGTTGTCTGTGTTTCAAATATGCAAAAAATTTCATTTAATATTTTTTAGATGATGTTTCTTTCAAATAGTTCAAATAAAGTGACACACTTAATGCCATTATGCATTCCAAAAAAAATATCTTATTTTATTTTTGTTTGCCGCTGCTATAAAATTAACTCAGCTAAGTCGGTATTATTTCCCAACTAATTTCTTAAGAAAAGTTTGAGCTGACTGGATTTTCTCTCATTCAACGTCAGATTTCTCTGAAAGTTTTCAGAAACATTTGCATGACAAAATGTTTAACATCTTTAAAATTTGCTAAATATTTCAGAAAAATATTTAGCAAATCAGTTTTTACATTGATGATGCCCTAATTATCAGTAAAAAAATTGCAGCAGGTTGCATTTCTGGCTGTTACCTCTCTTCAGACCAATCCAGATGGGAAAGTCAAACTCAGTAAAGATCTCGTTCATTTTGGAGCTGCTGAAACTCGCCAGGTTTCCATTCTGATTTATGCAGTGGTTCCATGCCTGAAACTGAGTCTTTGTCTCATTTACAAACTTGTATGTTCCTCCAATCCGACAGACAAACATCAGACGAGTTCCACAATCTCTGGAATAAATCCTTCAAAGAATCAAAAAAAGGTTCATTTAGAAAACAGAGTAGTGTATAAAATAAAATAAAACTGTCAATCAGATTGCAGCTTAATTAAACAACAATAAATGTTTTTTTTTTCAAGGTTTATAGTTTAGCGGATGATTGTGTTGCATTTTTTAATCTCTATTAATTTACCAAATAGATATAAACTAATGACTTTTAGTCAAAAAAATTAAAAACTATAGAAAAATTAAACAAAATGCATATGTATAGAAAATTATGAGAATAAATCATGCAACAGTAAACTTGAAATAATGTATATTTCAAGTAGATATTATTCTCGCAGTTTTATGACTTATTGAAATATTTTCATATTAGTTTGACTTGATTTCATATTAGTTTGACTTGATTCTTGCATGACTTTGTTCTCAAAATACTAACTCGTATGTATACATACTCATAATTTTTTTATTATTATTATTTTGTATTTTTTTCTTATATAGTCCTAATTCTCTGTTGGTGAAAAGATTTTTAGATAGGAAAACAGGGAATCCCATTACAAAGTTTCCCTAACCCTAACCCTAACCTTAACCCTAACCAGTGAAGCATTATCAGCTGTTGTTTTAACTCTTCTACATCATTTCCTACAAACATTCAATGAAAACTAGTGTCAACTTCTACATGTCTGATCTATGCTGAACGGAGAAGGAAATTAAGTGAATGTAGACTAAAGATGAACAACACATATATCAGTTTTTGTAGACAATCAGGTTAGAAAATTATATTCTTAATGAACAGAAGAGGGCGTAAAAAGAATTGTTTTTGTTTTAAATGAATAAATAATAAAGGAGATTCACTTAGACTGAATGAAACTAAATACATTAGATACCCAATTAAATTGATCTCATTATTACTTTAAAATTTCTTCCCTTACTTTTTGTCACTGAAAGAAACGGAGGCACAAAATTTTCCCCACTTTGGCTCTTCGTTCCCCCAGTCTGAGACATAATGGGTCGCTCCATCAGACCATTTCCACCAATATTTCCACCAATCTCTGTACAGGCCGACCCACACCTCATATTGCTTCAAGTCCATGCTGTTCATGTCTGAGGGTGTAGAGAAGGCGGCCAAATCGATGTGATTGCTTTGGAGAAAAACAAATAAATCATTACATTTGCTAAATAATCATCCATGGTGAAGCGTGAAACAGGCTCTGACTCCTGGCATGGACAATTTCCTCAACGTCTTTTCTATTCTATTCTTAAAGAAGAACAAAAAATATTTTAAAAACAATCATGAACTGAAGAGTTGTAAAGATCCAACAAAAGTTTGATCAAGACTGTTGAAAGACCTATAAGAAAATTCATTATCTGCTTTTTGTGTTCGTCCTTTGGGTGGAATCGCTTAAAGAAATTTCATATCACTTTTATACAGATGATATTCAACTATAAATTACATAAAAAGAAGTTAAAAGCTTTAAACTGACTTTCTGTTGTAAGTTTATTTCAGCTTTGGACGGACTGATGTCACTTCTATACAGATGATATTCAAATGTATGTGACTCTTAAAAAGCAGTTAAAACACATTTTGTCTTTTGTCTTTCTAGTAATTAATTTTAGTAGTTATTTCAATGGTTTTCTCTACTGTGTTTTGTGATGGTTTTGTCTATGAAGAGAATTTAACAAATAAAATGTTCTTAGCTAATAAACAAACCAAATCATTCCCATGTTTTTCACCATTATATCAGTTAATTTATTTTGGTATTTTTGAAGAATGAAAAGTTTCCAACCTCCATTTCTCATAGCATTTTTTTCTGTTTTTGCTTTTTTGACACAAACCAATCTGAGTCAACATGGAAAAAGTAATTGGCAGAATTTTTTACGTCAATAAGCTGCAATTTTCTCCACTTGAGAACTTTAACAGAATAATATTTATCCATTTCTTCAGAATCTGGATAATAAGTCCAGTTGTGCTCTGATTGCCGATTATTCTTATTCTCTGTTTTCTTTCCATTTCTGTAACTTCAGTTCTTGATGTTTTTCTTTCTTTAATCTTATTTATGACAAAATAAATGCACATTGTCATTAGAAAGCCTCACCGCTTGCAGAAATTGCGTGCATCGTTCCACGTCAAACCAAAGGTGAAACGTACGTAATGATTGGACGGAGATGTTCCCTGCGCTTCAGCGGCGATCAAACAGCCGAGCAGAACCAGCGGGCCCAGTTGGATGCTCTGCATCTTTTTTCCTTTATAGCAAAGATGTTTTTTGTTAAATTCAGCTCACTTATCACTTCACGCTTTCTTTTGCTATTAAAAAAGCAAAACAAAATCATTCACATGACAGACATAAACTTTGATCATGTATTGTCAGTATTAGATAATTTACCAGTTGCCTCTCGTCACCCACTGGTTTTTCTTTCTGGTTTTGAACTTGATTGATGAGCCAACAAAGTCCAACTGGACGTCTTGTTATTTTAGGTCGTATTTTCTAGAGCAGGCATTTGCCTGGGAAACACACTTACAGTCATCTGTCACGCCCATCTCGCCTTTAAGACATTTGATTCACCTGTAGGAAAATCAGTGGAAGGATTTTCCTACAGGTGAAAAACAGGAAAATATTCTTCCTGAAGAAAAGGACGTAGCAGGGAAATGAAGGGATTACTTCGCCCCACATGAACTGTTTCAACAGACGACAAAATGCAACAGCCTGGATCACCTGGAGAAAAATGTCACTGGTGTGAGAAATAAAAGCTCAATTGATTAACACCAAGATAAAACCTTGAATGCTCCTGTTCCCTCAGTCTAGAGACAGTCGTTCTGTTTATGCAGCTCCTGCAAGGTCACAACTGGCTGCAAGGTCACGACTTGCATATTTTTTTCTCATTTGATTAACAAAGTTAATGCAGAAAATGACACAGTCTTCAAACGTCTTGGTTGGAAATAATGGAAGTAAAGATGAACTTAATGCTCTGCATGTTGGACTTTAGCTCAGTTTTTAACTCAATGTTTAAGCGTCCTGAGCTCATCCGTTAAACTTGACAGGTCCAGAGTTCCCGGACCTCCCTTCCTGTCAGGATTTGTACAGGTCAAAGGTCAGGACAAAGGCATCTAACATAACAAGTATGCAGCACATTCATGTTGTGATAAATTACTATTGTCTTACCTTGGCTTGCAATGTTGGGGTCACGTAATGCCACACTGTCATAGGAAGGTCAGAGGTAAGATCGGGCCGATGGAGATAAATACTCTCTCATAATACTGTTGGAAGGTGAAATCATTTTATTTACACATCACATTTTCAGCAACAAGGCAGCTCAACATGCTTTTCATGACTTAGAAGGAAATGCAAACAAAACTACAAAACCAGAAGAAAAACAAACTGGAAACTACAAACTGGTTCTTAAGGTTTTATGAGAATAAATAGTCCATACCGGTAATTTATAAACTAGTATTAGTTTCTCTGGATTCTTGTTCTGATCAAACATTTGTTATGGGTCGATTTCTAGATTTGTACAACATAAAGTTAAATGTTGGTTTTCCATGCCTGATTCTTGTTCTGGATGGCCAAATAAACCAACAGGAGTTTCTCTAATATTAAAAGTATAAAGCTAAATGTTGGTCTAACATAGTTAGTGCTCCATGTTACATATTTACTTATAGAATGATGTTCTATTTTCCAGAACGTTCTTGATGTGGCAGAAATTTCTTTTTTTTTTACTTAAAATTTTATTGTGAAAAGTGCATGGACTTCCCCTGTTGTCTGATCATTTCAGACAGTAATACAATCCTCCGATCCTCTATTATTCCTCCAGCATCAAGACTTTTTACTTCACTGTTTTTTCTGCTCTCCGATATTTAAAGCCCTTATTGAAAGCAAAGAGAAACTAAAGTCAGAGTTCTTGTTTGTGTGCAAATTTGGCAAATAAGTCTGATCTGAAGTCCAAGTCGAGGTTTGTCCGTCTTCCACAGAGCGCTTGTGTGTGTTTTCAGTTTTTTCACATTTCTGTTTGGGTCTCTGCTGTTTCCAGAAACGGACTCAGAACTTGAAAAAACAGCCAGGCGTTTTCTGGCAGGAAGTTCATGTGTTTTTGGTGTCTGGAAAACAAACCGTTCCAAAAACGTTCCAGTTGTCAACCCACAATTGGCGACCGCTGTGCCGTCACCTAGCAACCTCAGCTGAACCCAGCCTCGTTACTTAGCAACATGGCCTTGCTGAGCTCCAGCTCGTTTGGTTGTACCACTGTACAATGGCTGCTGGAAAAGACAAGTGTCTTCTTGTTGCCTTGCCATCCGGAAACCACTTCCTGCATTTTTGCTGGTTGCGCAGGAGGTGTTACTTCCGCTTTTCGAAGATGTACTGTTGTATAATGGCACATTTTCACATATATAAAGGTCAGGTGTAAACATTGAGTTTGGGGGCGTGGCCAGCAGCAGATTGTTTTAATTTAAAGAGACAGAAGACTCAAAAGAGGCAGAACTGACAAAATAAAAACCTAATTATCTAAAAATGATTTTATGGAAAAAATGTTTATATGCTTGAAGCATAAAAGGTCACGAGTAAGGATCAATCTCACACATTAGGTCCTTATTATGAGATTCAGTCTCAGTACAATACTGTGGAAAATTTGAGGAGAGAAATTGAAGAGAAACACAACCATCACTTATTAATCACATTTATTTCATGATTGAATCTATAATGATTTTAAAGTCTTTAAATACATTTATTTTTTAACTACTGACTGTTAGAAAAGGTGTGATGAAAGAGTCATTTTTATTCTTTTTTTAAAGAAATCATGATGACCACAGCAACTTCTTCACACACTTAAACAGTTTTAGCCACTTTCTCCAAAGATAAAGACATTTTTTAAAACTTAAACAACAAATTAAAGCACATGCAGAATACTTTCTAAGGACAGTTCAGCATTTTGGTTGCCTTAAATTTCTATCAGCAAAATCCTGTCAGTCAGTCACTCTAACTCTGACAGATTATTTAACTTTCAAATAAAGACTAGCACCTAATAACTTATATATGTAGTTATGCATGTTTCTGTTAACTCATGTTAGGAATCCAGAGTTTCAAGTCGATGGCTGGACATTTCTGCAGGATGTTTGCTGCAGAGACTCAGGACTTTAGAAGATTTTGGTGACATTAGTAGCTGTAACAGAGGAAGTTTTTTCTCTCCAGGCAGTCTCTGGCCAGTAGGATGTTGCTGTTACCCTTAAGTATGGCCCCACAGCGTTGCCCCTTGGGGGGGCAATTCAGCAGGCCAGGGAACAACATAGCTTTCCTGTCTGTCCACAGCCATTCATCTCCCAGGAAACGCAGACCAGTCCAGACCTGCCAGAAGGAAGAGAAATTAAACTTTTCATGCCTGAAACTCCAAATCCGCAAATATTCCTCTACACTCAGTAAATAAGGTGAACAAAGAGAGAAAATGGCTCCAGAAAACAACATTTTCCTCTTTGGTGCCATGAAGTCGTCAGATTTTGCTCCATGTTTTGCAGGGATGGAGGTAAAACTGGTTCCTCCAGTACTTTACCTTTCTATTAAAATGTTGCTCTGCTTCCTCTTCGTAGCTGCTCATTCTGGCTGTGGACAAAGTTTACAGGTTCCCTGGTGTTTTTTTTTTCTCTCCTTTCTAAAAATTCAAAACCAATTAAACAATTTTCTGCAGTCAGATAATTGCAGACGGCACTTTAAGCCAGGACCAAACGCCACGTTGTTTTAGAAACACAATTTTACCATCATTAGCAACAACTTTGTATTTTCTCTGAGTCGGTGGCTCTGATAACTTATGTTGCTTTTAACTCGTGTTCAGCTTGTTGTGCATCTGCATGTGAGGAGGAAAGGAAGTTAAGTTTCTTGATTTTGTCTAAACTCTGGTGTCTCGAAGTCTCAGGAGCAGCTCAGTCAAACAGCTCCATCCCTGTTTCAAAAATAATTAGATATGAAAATGGATGTGAACCCACCTCTTCGGTGTCAGCCTCCTTCATTCTGTTGTCCATATATTTGGGTTTCTCTCCAGGCTTCAGGCTGAGCAGATTGAAGGAAAGGTTGCTGTTGGCCCCCAGGCTCAGGCAGTACTCCAACGCCTCCTCCCAGCTCTTATTCTGCTTCACCAGAATCACGTTGTCTGTGCAGAAGGACGGATGAAGGGTCTGGCAGTCTTCGGCAACCAGCTTCTTTGTTATTGAAGTGATGGTTACACATTTCTTGTTGCCATTCGAATCTAAGTTCCAGCGTTTGTCCTCCTTGAGGCCTGAACTCCATTTCCATGAGTTGTCTGAAGAAAAGAGTGAATAAATTTATCTCAGATGTTTCTTTCCAACTGAACTTGGAATGAGGAGAAGCTAAATAACTTCTGATACGACTGCAGCTCGTCTTCCTGCAAGCAGAAATCAAATCACTTTCTGATTCCTGAGCAACATTTGAGCCAAATCTGGTTTATTGGAAATCATTTTTAAACCTTTTGTTGTTTGTTTTTACCATTTCTGCGAAGTCCGATCCATATGGGAAAGTCTTGCTCACTGAAAAGCGTCATTTTGTCCTGTGTAAAAGTTGCCAGTCTCTGATTGATATCCTCGCAGTGCTCCTCCGCGTCAGACCAGGTCATCATCTGCTGAATCATGGTTATAGAGCCGTTGTTTGAATTCTGACACGCAGCAAATGATTTTGTTTCACAGTGTCTGCTATAAATCCTTAAAGCAAAAATATGAATAAAACAACTTAATGTTTCAAACCCTCGTATCCACATCTGAACAAAAACATTTAACTGGATTAATGACAGTGAATTCAAACAGTTTAACACGTCAGCCAAGCCCTAAAACGTCTTTACCTCCAAATATTTCTATAATCATATAGATATACTGTAGCAGAAATCAACTGAGCAATAACCACCACAGCTATAAGAAAATTAACTTTATCTGAATATGACAAAAACAACTCTGCAAAATAATTAAAAAATTACATTAATTAACTTATTAATTATATTAAGATTAAGACAATCTTGTCAGAGAGGTCAATGCAGATGAAGGAAAGCTTTACTAATGTTACGTTTTGTAGGAGTACATACATCATACATACATCAGAAATTGTACGTATGTGGTGAAACCAACACAGAATTGAAACTATAAAATGTTTCTGTCAGCGCTCTGTAACTGAAGTGGATCTTTTGCTACTTTGCAAATTAACTCAAACTCAGTCTGGATGCGATCAACAGTTTTTAAAGTCATGCCTCAGATTATTTATTTCAGAAAAACCAACAGTCTCACGTTACATTTTTTTGTTGTAGCTGATCACAGCGCAGTTTTCATTATTATCATTTTCTTGATTTGGGTCCCATTTGATCTGATAATCTCCTCCATTGATCCACTCCCACTGGTTTGCTGATTTTTTTAGACCAATCCAGGCGTTATACTCCGTCAGGTTCAGGCTGTCTGCATGTGCCTGGTTGTAGATAGTGGCCAAGTCCAAGTTTTTTCTGTAAGGACAAACTGTCAGTTATCATGTTTGTTCAATTGTCTTTCACACCTGAATCTTTACCTCACCTGTTGCATTTGCTCCTGAATAAAAAGTTCAAATGATTTAATGTTCTTAGAGGATTTCATGGGAAATAGAAAAACATTTCAGCTTAATGATGAGGCCTGGCACAGTAACACATTTTCCTGGATGATAAATGGTCCCAGAAGTTAATATTGTTGTTTTGAGATCATTTTCAAGTAATATAATGACATTATGGCATAATAATATATGTCAAACATCAATAAACTTAAAAGTGTAATGAACCAAAACACCAAACTGAAGACTTTTACCAACCTGTTTTTGGTAGAAAGAGAAAAAATATAAATTATGCAAATGGAAATTGTTGAGCACGTTTTAATTTGCCATGCAATTAATTGAAATATTGATTATTCCGGCAGGCCTATTAATGCTACAGACCGGATCGCTGGAAATCAAACTAAATGATAGCATTTGTTAACTCTAAAACAGAGAATAAAACAATTAACAGAAAACTTACTCTCTGCAGTATTGTTGTGCATCTTCCCAGGTGAGACCAAATTTCATCTGACGTTGTTCGATTGACAGAACTGATCCGGCTTCGGTTGCTGTGCCGACGGTGCTGAGGAAGAGGAGGATAGTCATCAGCGTAATGAGGATTCTCATCATGGTCAAACTTTGCTTTCTTCCTCAATTATTTAAAAACACGCATTCAAAGGAGCTCCAGCGGATTTGGTTGGAAAACTGTCCTGCGTCTTTTCACTGTTTATGGTTGAGCGTTTCCCATCGCAGAGGCTTAAGTGCAGCTGCAGCTCACACCACAGAACCACCTTCAGACGCATTTACATGAGAGGCACAAACAAGTAGTTAACATTCACACCGGTCTGAGGAAAACTTCCGAAGAATAGATTTGCCTGCAGGAAAATGAAGGCAGGATTTCCCTACGGCCTTCCAGGCTGGAAGATGACTGATTATCCAGCAGCAACTTTCACTTCCAACACATCGTATATTAGTTCAGAGATTAACTAATATACGAAGTGAAAGTCAATTACTCAAGTAAGAGTAAAAACGTATTTGGTAAAAAAAAAAAAAAAAATCTGCTCAAGTACTGAGTAACTGATCAATTTATCAATCATTTAAAAATGGACCAAAATATAAAGTTCAGTTGAAAATTTTGTTTTTCAAGGACAAAAATTACAATAATTTATATAAATAACAGAAAATAACAAAATCAGGCAAAATATACATTTGTATTTTTTATTTATTTATTTATTCAAAATCAGTTTTTTTCAATAAAAAAAACTTAGAAATTTGACCATAAACTACAGGTGTGTTTCTAGTGAATGTTTGGTTAAAACATGTTTGTTTTTTCATTCAGTGGGAAAAAAAAGAAATTTTATTCAAATAAGAGAAAAAATACTTCATAATAAAAGTACAGCGTAGTATAAATACTCCTAAAAGTGATTTTTTTTTCCCCAAAAAACTTACTCAAGCAATATAACTAGTTAGCCAAATCTTCAATTAATGTGATTGTTTCTGGTTTATTTCTCTGCCATGCTAATGGAGGAGTGCAGCCAAATCACATTCCTGTCGTTCTTAGGACCAAAAACACTTTAGCAGTCCTTTAAATAATGAGTTATTTCAGCTGAAGCATTTTTACAACACAAAGAAAACATATTTATTGCTTAATGGATTGCAGAAAGTTTGTCCAGTGAAGCTTATTCTAATACATTCAGGAAAAATGTTTTAGTTTTGGAGCTGGATAATATCTGAACTGACGCAGACAAGAGCAGAGCTAAACGCTGGATGAGGAATAAATGAAGTTACTGAGATTGAATCTGGTGTTTAGCGTCTCATCCCTCCCTGTGTTTAGCAGAGCTGGCTGCATGTCAGGCATGAATGTTTCTCAGATGTGTCACAGGTTTGTTGTTAGTGAGTGATGGAAACCGGATGGCTGTTGAGGGGAGGTGAGGCTCACAAACTCATTTTTCTTCTGCCTATCTGAGAAACCGTTCTGACAAACATTTGGTTTCACTGGAGAGAAAAAAACAGAATTTCTTAGAACGTAAAGCAGGAACATCAGGGAAAAGATGAAGTCGTTAAAATAAATATTGCTTTCTGAAACAATCTTGAGGATAATTTCCTAAGATGTTTCTGCTTCGAAGACAAACACGTTTCTAAATCAGACAGTTATGCAAAAGAAAAGTTTTCACTTTGTTGCAGTAGGAATTTAAAGACGACATTTCAAGATTTTAATACAACCTTTGTTGTATATATATATATATATATATATATATATATATATATATATATATATATATATATATATATATATATATATATATATATATATATATATATAAATAAAAATTCCCTTCTCACCCACCGCGGGTGGTTCTTATCCTCTGAGCCTCTACCAGAGGCCTGGGAACTTGAGGGTCCTGCAGTATCTTGGCTGTGCCAAGGACTGCACATTTCTGGACTGAGATGTCTGATGTTGTTCCTGGGATCTGTTGGAGCCACTGCTCCAGTTTGGGGGTTACTGCCCCGAGGGCCCCGATGACCACAGGCACCACTGTGGTCTTCACCTTCCAGGCCCTCTCCAGTTCTTCCCTGAGGCCCTGGTATTTCTCCAGTTTCTCGTGCTCCTTTTTCCTGATGTTGCAATCACTTGGTATTGCTACATCTATATATATATATATATATATATATATATATATATATATATATATATATATATATATATATATATATATATATATATATATATATATATATATATATATATATATATATATATATATATATATATATATATATATATATATATATATATATGCGATTTATAGTTTATGTGCTAAACTTTGCATAAAATTAAAGCTCATAGGAAATAACATTAATAACAAAGCTGACGCACTAACAAGAAGTTTTACTTTAACATAAATAAACACGTTTCTGGTTATTTCATGTATTGGATAGAGCATCCAGAAAGTTTAATCTAGTAAGAGTAGCAATAGTTCGTAGTAATATCACTCAAGTAACAGTAAAAATACTCCTGAAAGTACATTTTTTCCAAAAGGTTAGTTTCTACCTATATATAGCAAAATAACATAACTGAAATTTAGGAAAGGAGGAGAACAGTAAACCTGATGAACCATAAAATGTGACCCTTGACCTTTCCATCTGCCGCTGCAGTGATAAAGTGAGGTAAAGCTGAAAGAAAATAGCACTTGTTTATCCAAGTGGTTTGAGTTTGTAGGTGATGAAGACTGACTGACCGACTGTCTGCGTATGAAACCAGTAAAGCTGCTTTATTTTCTCCAAACCTCCATCAGTCTGAGCCTTTCTGTAACAATTCTTAAGATTTATGACGTGGAAAGCCTGACCCCGAGGACTCGTCGTTTCTTCTTCTACTGTATCGCCGTAGTGACTGAGAAAGTGGAAAAACAGCCATTCATCAACTTGGTGAAAAGAATAAGAAAACACATAAATTTCTTTGGCAGGGGCAGAGTGGCTTTTATTAATGGCAAGTCTTGTAAAAACCAACACTGACATATTTTCCACTTTTTAAGCCACTTTAAAGCTTCCCCAACCCTCAGCTCCGCGTTCCCCTTTAACAACAGCCCATCAATCAATCTCTGCTCTGAAACAACGACTTACTCCGGAAACACGACTTTCTTTCTCCTCCAAATATTTCAATTCTCTCCGATTAGCAGCTCTGTGCCTCGTCTTGACATCACTCACCTTGAATCCATTCCCTCATCTCTCTGGATCGAATCGGCAGAGGCTGCTATCTCGCATGAGACGCCGTCTTTATGGCGCAGCTGGCAGCACTTAGCGCAGTCAGAGTCTCTGGACCCAGAGCCAGAGCCAAGAGCCCAGCCGAAACACGAAGACAAACTCAGATGGGTTTCCTTAAACTGCTAAACTTTTAAAGATTGCAGTTTGTTCTGAACTTTAAAGAAATTGTAAAAAGCAAGGTGTTCCTGTGCTGATAGTTCCATATTAAACCAGCACAATTTCAAAGAAAGCAGTCAAAAGGGTTCAAGGTGGTCTGAGCTGAGACTTTTTACTAAACTCACTAAAACTCTAAAGGATTCAGGGTTTTAGCTTCTATCAGTAAAGAAAACGTCCACAACTGGGAAAATAAAACTGGAGCTCTATAGGATTAGACAGAAAGTTTGGTTTATATGTGACACATGTGAAGAATCTCTTCCAAAGCAGCAGGTTGAGCCCTGCAGCATGCACCTGCCTGTTAACAAGATGCTAAAATCAAATGCCTTTCAGAATAACTGCTGCTGCCCATCAACCTGGGAAAGTCGTGAGATGACATTTGAAGTGGGACTGTTATGTAAGATCACCTCTTTTTTTAAATTTATGCTATGTTGCAATGTTATTCATTCATCCAAAACATCTTGTTTTGATTCTGTCATGCAGCAATTAGCAAACACCTGGTGGAGCTGAGCGTCTGCTGACCTCATCTTATCTGTCCAGGGCTGCTAAAACTGGTTGTAAACAGCATGGTGGAGGAGCATTGTTGTGATACGGCAGGAGCTTCTTAAAGAGACAAAGGCCAAATTTCAAGCCATCAAATTGCAAAGTCAAATTTCTTTTGAGTCACATCTGATATCTGCAGTATTTTTATAACAACGGAAAGCAATGTTGTTATTTGATTGTGCTATAAAATGGCACAATGGCTGGAAAATGCATAATACTTCCCCTTTCTAATAACTCCACAGGCCTCAGATAGCAGGAATGACAATATTCATAAGATATTACAAAAAGAATGAGTTTTTTTTGTTTGTTTGTTTTGTTGAAAGAGACAGCCTCTTCTTTTCAACTGTTAGTTTCCATCTATAATCCGCTCAGATCTTCTGTTTGTGTTGTAGTTTGGCCGCCGTCCAGCAGAGGGCGCCGCTGGTTATCCTCTGCCGAAGCCAGTTAGGAATAAAGATGGCGACGCGGCGCCATAATATAACAGGAAAGAGAAACGGTCCAAACAGAGTGAGGGATGAATCATTCACTTTATGTTTATGTTTAGAAATATAAACTCGACAAGTTCCCAAAGTTTTCACCTTAATAGTTATTCAAACAACGCATTTATTTTTTAGTTTAGCTTATTATAAAAAATTAAGCTCTTTATGTTGAGAAAAGAATAAACTCTGAAGAAAATGCCAATGTCAACTCATTAGTTGATTGACCTGATCAATCAACTTTAGATTAACTCATTAATTGATAACTTGCATCCCTAATATCATTACAGTGAGGCATTACAGTGGCTCAGTCAAAGTCCAGACCTTGACCTGAGTGAAATCCTGAGGAGGAAAAAATCAGAAGGTTTGTGCAAAAACTAATGTCTGCAAATAATTCTCTACAATAACGTGACAAACTAAAAATACTAAATACTCCTACAAATGACTCCACAAGCTGTTCAATGACTCGGTTTGTGTTGCACTCTGATTCCCCGTCTTACTGTTTCTGGTTGCCTTGTTGAGTTCGGTGATCGGTCTCCCACAGTCAGCCTCGCTGTTTCAACACTCGCCCTGTGTGGAGAGCTGTGGGAGTGTTGCTGTAGCGACCACTTTGTGAAGTGTTGGCGAGCGTTTCGGGCTCCTGCAGGATTTTGGGGGAGGGAACGCAAGAAATGTCTGTGTGCATGCATGTGTGTGGAAATCAGTGTTGGCTGGAAGTGCCTGAGTGACCTCATGCACATCTGTGTGCTGATCAGCGGAGAGAGCTTTTACAGACAAAGTTTCACTCATGTCTGTGAGCAGCAAGCCTCCACTGGAAGCCGTTTAAAGGAATAAAATGATTAAAAGCAAAACTAAACCCAGAGCCGGAGCGTCATTTGCCGTGTGACTCGGATCGGCTTGCCGCCTCCAGCAGCTGCTCCTGTCCTGAGTTGCCATATCTTATTCATAACCTGCAGAACAGTAACTGGATCCAACAAACTCATTAGGCTTCCAGTGTTGTTTTCACACTGCAAAAACACTCAAATCTTACCAAGTATTTCTAGTGCAAATACCTTAGTACACTTGTACTAAGAGAAAACTAACAAAACATTTTAGCCAACAATAGGAGCTTGTTCTAAGTCAATAATCCATCGTTGAAAATGAACTAGTTCCTTTGGCAGATTATTTTCTTATTTCTCATGTACTAACTAACATATTTGGATCAGCTGGAGGTTGTTTTTTTTTTTGGCAGATCTGGACCTGTGAAGACGCTGTTGCAATAATCAATGCGACTAAAGATAAACGCATGGATGAGTTTCTCTAATCCTGGAAATGTTCTTCAGCTGATAGAAGGCCGACTTTGTAACTGTCTTTATGTGGCTCTGATGGCTCAGACCTGATTGTTTTTACTTCAACATATTTAGAGGAGCGCAGAAAGAACCTCATAATAATCATAACAGTTGCCGATTTCATGCGCTTAGCCTCCATAAGTCCTTGGATGATATGAATGTGTGTAAAACTGGCCTGCAGGGAATAACAAGCAGGCTTGTTCTAGGAGCACATTTACATCACTCAGGGGTATAGCAAAATAAAAAGTGTAAAGTTTATCCTCCTGCCTAGCTAAGATCATAAACTTTGCATGTTGAAAAACAGATAAAATGTAAATTTTTGTGCAGATTTATAAACTAGTTCCAATGTATTGCCCAAATCCCAAAGTTATCCAGAATTTTTAAAATTTAGACTCATTTTTTTATTCAACTAAGAAGTTTGTTTCTGATAGAAAATTAGATTAAAAAACAATTAAACACGAAATCTGTTTAGAAAACTGTTTGTTTTTGTTTATATTTTATTTGAGAATTCTATGAAAAACTTATTTATACCTTTCTCAATAATCTGAAATTATAGCTGACATATCATTGTTATTATTGTTTTGCTATAATAAAAAGTTTTTGCAGTCGGAATGCCTCCTTTCCATCACCCTAATGTTTAGCCTGGATTCTTGAAATGATTCAAGTTAAAAAGTTAATATAACTTCCAATACAGAAAACATGTTAGTGATACTAAAACATTGATTACCAGCTTAAATGCATGCAACTTGCTAAAAAATATATATTGCTCCATATTTCTCAAATATTAGAGGTAAAACATTTATAATCTATTTTAATCCAGTACTACAGGAAATTAATGGTCATTTATATTTTGCATTGTTGTATCTCCATCATATTAAGTTTATTGGAGCAGCATACTTCAGCAGCAAGACAGTTTAAAGTGCTTTACATGTAAAAAAGACAAAAATTAAAAAAGAAATTGGAGCTTTACTTTTCTAAATGCACCATGTTTAGCCTGAAATTAAAGAAAGATGTGGTGCATTTTATATTTCAGCAGCATGTGAAGACATGCAGATTTAGATAAATACTGCTTCCTCTGACACTGTAATCTAATCTGCATATTTTAGAAAATTCTGTGGCATGAACAAAGCAACTCAGAGATGCAAAATATACAGTGAACATGGGAGTGTTACGAAATGCTGTGCGAAATTATACTGTACAAAAATAAACCCTTCATTTGGTTGTACCAAGTGATGCAATGGATTCAGTGACTTCTTCAACCTTTTCAACCTTTCCCTCACACCTGTCCTGGAAAACTGCAACATAATTAAAGCATTAGCATGTCGGTTATACCAACATACACACACTGCGCAAAATGAGAATCCATAAATGATACATGTATTTTGTACACATGAAAATAAATGAAAGTAAATCCATGTAAAAGAAGTTTATATGCTGGAAGGCGACATTATGCTTCCTTGAACAGATTAGGATAGACGAATAGGTGACATAAAACATTTTTGTAGAAAATCCTTCTTCGTCCTCACTCAACTCATCCTCTTTCAGGATGAGTTGAGTGAGGACGCCGCCCCCCAACTCAATGTTTACCTTCACATGTTGAAATGGCTGCAAACAGATCTGCAATTACACAATTGAACATCTTTGAAAAGCAGAAGTGGAGCCTCCTGTACAACCAAAAAAGAATGCACCAAGTGGTTTCCGGATGATGAGTCAACAACAAAACACTTGTCTTTTCCAGCGGCCATTGTACAGGACATACAGTGGGAAAACTGTTGGAGCAACAGCATCAAAACAGGGACCTAAAAAGGCTCAACATCCTAATAAGGAAGACTGGTTCTGCTCTGGTTCTGCTCTGGTTCTGCTCTGGTTCTGCTTTGGTTCTGCTCTGGTTCTGCTCTGGTTCTGCTCTGGTTCTGCTTTGGTTCTGCTCTGGTTCTGCTCTGGTTCTGCTCTGGTTCTGCTTTGGTTCTGCTCTGGTTCTGCTCTGGTTCTGCTTTGGTTCTGCTCTGGTTCTGCTCTGGTTCTGCTCTGGTTCTGTTCTGGTTCTGCTCTGGTTCTGCTCTGGTTCTGCTCTGGTTCTGCTTTGGTTCTGCTCTGGTTCTGCTTTGGTTCTGCTCTGGTTCTGTTCTGGTTCTGCTCTGGTTCTGCTCTGGTTCTGCTCTGGGGCGCCTGAGGAACCTCTGGAGAGGATTATGCAAAGGATTCTTAATAAAATCAAGAACTTTATGGACAACCCTGACATGAGGCTTGAGAAAACAGTATCTTCAGTCAGAGGCTTCTTCAGATTTGCTGTAATACAGACAGCTAGAGGAAATATCTCCTGCCAGCAGCCATCACAGTCTTCAATAACTCTGAAGAATCTTAATTAATGAGTTACAGTTTCTGAAGTGAACTGAATTGAAAACCAGCTGGCCAAACATGCTGGAACTCAGCTGGGGTTGCTAGGTAACGGCAGAGTGCTCGTCCAGTGTGACTTCACCGATGGAAGGTTTTTCATACAACAAATTTTCCAGACACCAAAAGAAGAAACTTACAGTCGGAGAACAGCTGGGTGTTTTTTTTTTAACT